CCTGTTCTCCTGGAAACCACCTAGAGTTCTACCAATAAATCCTGATCAATCTCACGCCCACAACTCGTCTGAGAGCCTGGACAATGAGACATGCCAAGCTTACTCTCAAGTAGGAGGCCACAGAACTGCATGTACCTTCAGATCCAATGACTAGGTGGTCAGTGGAAAGTCACAGAGAAGCGGATGTGAGCTGAGGATTCTAGCACATATTTAGTGGGGAAGCATTTTTTGCATCTCCTGTGCTTTATTAATGCAACATCCAAAGGTAGGAACCACACTCAAGCTTTATTACAGCAACATCCAGCTATAATGTCATAATGTCACCAAAGCAAATGGGAAGGAGAATGGGGAGATTCCAACTAGATTAAAAAGTGGACACAGCCCTCATCTGAACAAAGTGAAAATAGTTGGATACATATCACGATTTTTCACTTAATTCTCATTTTGCAGCCAAGAAAGAAAAATCTTGTGGAAGACAGAACATTCTTCTTTGGCTGCTACCAACAGCCAATTTCACGGAGCTGTCTGGGGGAAAAAATGGAGGTGATGAAGGAGCATTCTTCTACTATCATTATGATCTTTGCATATTGCAAAAAATGAATTCATAGCCGACTAGGGAAATAATGTCAGTAGGAATAGTAGCTTATCAGTGTTTCCAGTATACATATTTCAGGCAAATGTGATATTAAAAAGTCATAGCCTACAGCTATAATCTTTCATAGAAGCAACTTCATACGATATTCTTGTGAAGATTAGTCTTCTATGTACACATCCAAAGTAACAAGAATAAAAAGATCTGGTGAGAGCCAGTTTGGTGTAGTAGTTAAGGTGTTGGCTAGAAAGTAGGAGACTGTGAATTCTAGTCCCACCTTAGGCACGAAAACTGGCTGGGTGACTCTGGACCAGTCACTTTCTCTCAGCCCAACCCACCTCACAGGGTTGTTGTTGTGGGGAAAATAGGAGGAGGAAGTAGGAAGGTATGTTCGCCGCCTTGAGTTACTTATAAAGTAATAAGGGCAGGATAAAAAATAAAAAAAACAAGAATAAAAAAGTTAGTATCAGTAGAAACATTGTCTTTTTGTTCTCAGTAGAGATCTTTCAGTTACCATATGAAACTTTAGAATTAATTATAGTGAAACATTTTTTTCTGCCCAGATCCTTTGCAGCACTAAATTGGTCACTTTGTGAATCAAGCATGCAAGGCTGAAATCTCTCCTGTTTTATTAATCCAACGTCCAAAGATAGGAATCAATATTCAAGCTTTATTATGGTAACATCTAGCTATAATATCATGAAAAAGCCACTTTATTTGCACTAGATAAAAATTCATAGGCAAAGGACAACATTTAAACCTGGGAATAATGCATTCCTAGCCCTGTAATTCAAGGAAGATTGTGAATATACAAGCATTTTGGTACGTAAGGCTACAATCCCAAAATTCTTATTTTGAAAGTAAGAATCAAATCAAATCAAATTTGTTTCCAAATAAATATGTTTAATAGGGCTTCTGATCAATATGTATAATAGAGTTCCATAGAACTTAGCTTACATTTCAGAGGGAACTTATTTCTGAATAAATTCTTTTCGGAGTGTGCTATATTAACATTACCAAAAATAAAAGGAAATGAAAGAAATCTGGAAAAAAAAAAAAGAAGAAAGAAACCCATCATAGGAGAATATGCAAAAGAAATTTCCTGACCACATACATAATAAATAACACTTTATCAAGACTGAACTATTTCCTTCAAGGTTAATGAAAATTTAGTGTTAAAAAAACACCAAATACATATATAAAATAGATGATAGACAGACAGACAGACAGAGTTATAGTCATGTGCTCACTCTTTTTGGAAATAAATCTGATGGTCACTTGGGTTTACTTCTAAATAAGCCTGTGCAGAATTGCACTGTGCAATTATTAAAATAATATCATTGAACAATTCAAGATATTAAAATAATATCACTCAACAATTCAGTGCTTCAGGGTACTAGAAGCACTGAATAGCTATTAAAAACATCTAGATTAACAAATCAGAACATATTTTAACTTAATACCAGTCTTTACATTTACAAAGAATATTTAATAAAAATTGAAAGGATACCAAATGCTTGAAAAATCTTTTGGACCTGAAGAATGTCATAGCAACAAAACACACCACACTCCCCATTGCTCCTCAGGCAAATCTAAAGAGAAAGCTACTACCTGCCAAAATATACTTATTTCCTCCTACTTATTAAATGCTGCCATTATCCGATTCAGACAATGCTTAGAAAATTACACCACAATGAAATATTATGTCCCACTGCAAACTGTAAGATCACATCCTGGGAAATCAAGTATTTTCCCTCCTGTGAAAATATACCGAGGCAAAGAACTCAGATCCTACTACTGTAGTCCTTTGGGGAAAACTAGCCCTCTTGGGCAATATAGGGATGATCTCTTCAGGTAGCAGAAATCAGGGTAACATCTGAGGGAGGTGTTCCTCCTAAACTCCCTGGCTTGTTGAAACACGGAGGTATACGTCCATGTGAATATATAGGTGATCAGAGTCCTTAAAGCGGCCAATGGAGCTTTCTCTTCCAGCGAAGAGAAATAGCCAGCAATTCAGGACACTCATATCCCATCGTCCCTAGCATCTGGCCCTTATACGTGGAAAGAGAATGGTATCCTCAGGCTCATGCAAAGAAGTGTCTAGGCTTAGCCTTGCCTTTGAGCTCCTTTAAACCACCCAAAGGAGTCAATGCTGCATACCTCCTGTCTGGGGACACCCATCCTCTTCTCCCACTGATACTAGTTTTAAAAGAAGCTTCTCGGCCAAATCCTCACCATTGAGATGATTCGGCCTAATGGAATTACAGGCATTGGGCCTTCCCAAAATGCAATATTAATCAAGGACTGTTTTTTTACAGCTGCCAAGAAGACCATTGCAGAGAAGAACACGCAGTGCTTCCTTCCACCCTACAGAGTCACCAACGTAGCTGTCAAGATATGGCCATTCCTCAAAAGCCATGTGTGGTCTCACTACACATAGCATATTTTCCATTCAGGTGAGAAATACTTTCCAGATACATTCCTTCTGATTACAACCTTTCATCTTGCAGTAAAAGTAAGTTTTTATTGTTAAGTTAAAACAATCCCCACAAAATGAATGTATCTGTTGGATCTGTTTATTGACTTTTTTTTCGCTAGAGTTTCTATTCCCTTTTTTTCTATATCTATCATTCACCTGATTGGTTTTGTTTACTGTTTTGTAACTTAACACAGAATTCTTGGGAAAAGAGCTACTATATTGTTTTTTAGTTCATAAAAATAATAAATAGATAATAAAAAGAAGTAGTTTTTAAATGGAATTAGGAATAAGTGCATGTCTTTCATTTCTGGGGCAATATCTAGGAGTGCAATTTTTAATATTAGTTAAATGTTTAAAATTAGTGAGGCCAGGATTTGATCCAGAGATCAAAGCAAATATTTTTTTTTATGTTCTAAGGTATAAATAGGGCAGAAAAATCAACCACATACCAAATATGGTTTGTGAAGCAGCAATCACAAATGTCCTAAAATTTCTAGGAATGGAAAGTGAAAAACAGAATGACCGAAAAGTTAACATTGAACACAGGTTCACTTCAACCCATGCAAAATGAAGCCCATGTTTTATTGCAAGAGATCATTAAACAAAATAGCAAATGCAGAGCAGGTGCAATTGAAATACTCTTTTCAATAATGTAGACATATTTTTATGCATTTATGTTAAATTCTGCTGTCCATTCTGTGTGTGGATGTGTGTAGCTATGTACACACATGCACGCTTGTTGTTTTATTTCCAAATTCTTATCAGGATCCAATGAAGGTTCTTTCCTTCTTCTTCTTCTTCTTCTTCTTCTTCTTTTTAATGGAATAGTAACTAGGAAGGAAATAGCTAGGGGATAAAATTAACATCTCTACTCCACATATGGTGGTCTTGATCCAGATTAGAGACCCCACATGCTTGCTTTTGAATAGCTAAAAAGTAGAAGAGCAGCTGCACCACACTCCAGATATAGCGTAATAGGTAGCTTGATCCTAGACTCCATTACTCATAATACATATCTCTGTGTGTTTTGTTTTAATTCCGTATCAGGTAAATTATAAACCTGACAGAGTGAAACAACGCTTCCTATGTTTTGGTTTTATTATCTCAACACCATTGTAGCAGCCACCTACTTCAAAGAGCCCCAGTGCCTCTTTACAGCTGCAGGCCTATTAGAATACTGATCTACTACTCCCCCTTGTTTTCCTAAAAGTGTGTGTGTACGTGTGTGTGTTTGAAATCAGGTCTTAACTCCTTGGTTAAGGAGATATACTGTGAGTTATAGAGAAAATACATTTGGAAAACACTATTTTCAAACACAGATTTTCTCTCTCTGTGCATAAATGCATAGCTTTCCATTCCAAAGCCTTAAGTATACTTTCCACAGGCTTTTTTATGATTTCATTAAGTCAGTTACAACTGTTTGAAAAGGTGAATCATCAGGTGTCCTGAACATTTTATATAAGAGTCAATCAATGCAATATAAAGGCAGACAAGGAACAAAATATTTCCGACAATGGGTTACAAGTTCAGCTGCAGGAACAGACTGGACCGAGAGCAGCCAAAACCTGTGGTTTGCATCGTTCATTTTAGTTTCCTAGCGTCTCCACTTCGGGGAGTTTTTGTTTTGCTTCAGTTTATTGTTTTTGTAACTCAGTATTGGGGCTTCTGTTTTGGTTTTTCCCCAGGCCACATTTCTGTCGACTATCTGACTTGTTTTTCATAAGCATTTCATTTCTAGCATATGCAGCCACGGTTACCCAATAGTCATAACAGAGATTTTGATTTACAACACACAATGTCTAATTATTCAGCGGTGACTCAACCATCCTGAAGGCATACCCGCTCAAACCCTGTATTTCCCCCTTCCTTGCCTTAACTCTCTTTTTATACTGGATTTCTTTTTTTTAAGAAAGCAATGACACGATTTACCTGTAGAACGCTGTGGGAGCAGCTTCTCTCATGGCATAACTGCTCGGCTCATTCTCCAGGTAATAAGGTACCTGTTGGCTGTGGTGATGAATAAAAGGCGAAAGTTGGGGGGCCGACTGTAAAAAGACGACAGGGCTTGGAGGAACGTTGTTCAGGGAATGAAATCCTCCCAGGCTGCTGGACCCAAATGATTCGGTCGTAGGGGCATAACTGAGGCTGGTGGAGCTGTACACTGGAGCAGCGGTGGCAAAATCATAGGCAGCGCCGTCTGGGTAGTTAAACCCCCCAGTCTTGCTGCTGTCCACATACATTTCACTGATCGGTCGTTCCAGAGGAATCTTCAGCTGTGGTCTGGCAAGAGGCTCTAATTCGTTGCCTTGTATTTGGTGCAGTAAGGCAACCCCGGAGGTTTTTGTGTGAAGGGTCATGGTCATTGTTAGTGGCAGTGAACACGTCGCACATCTAGGTTTCCTGCTCGAAGAGGAATCAGCAGCTGGCCATCCACCTGGAAGGGGAGCAGAAATCGAGCTGAAGCATTTGGCAAAAGTGGGCTCCTTAGCCAAGTTATGCAACCATCTATGTATCCAGCTTATCCCAGCCAGGAAGAAGACACAAGCGAGGCGAGTGTGAGCACGAGGAGCTCTTTCGCTCTCTCTTTCTGTCTCGGAGTCTAACTTTTCATCTGAGCTAATATGCTTTACAAAGGTGCTGGCATTTGGCCAGGTACTCTTGCCTTTCCCTGACATTGGTTTAAACATCACTCCCAAAACAATTACTTCTGGATCTCGACCAAATAATTGTTCCACTATTCTAGTCCTTTAATTTTTCACTATATGTGGCTCCAGCAGTCAAAAACAGGCACAGGAGAAAAGTCTAGAAAGGGGCTAACTCAAAGCTCAGTCCACTTACATTGTATATAGTAATAGGCTGGCTCCAATTTATCTCTGCTTATCTAGACTCCTTGTTTTGTCCATCTTCATGTTTGCTAGAAATATGTAATGTGTACAGTGCAATGACCCTGAGTAGGACTACAGTGTAACAGAGATACAGTATGGCAAAGTGTGTTTGTGCAGGTCCACTTGCTCATGTGTGCAGCCAGCCACAGACCATCAAATTCCACCGAACAGAAATGAAAGGGTGGACTGTATCTATCTGGGAGAAAAGGCACGCAAACATACTTGCTTGCTGCTGTTATCCTGATTCCTGTTATTTAGCTACAGCACAAAGTGTTTTTTTTTAAAAGATAAGTTAAACTTGCTGTTGCCTCATCATTATTATTAGCATGTGTCTCTGATGTGAATTTAAAATCAAGTAAAATATATAAAAATGAAAAGTAAGCATGGATTGCTCACATCACTGCACATTAGCTATATGAAAAAGAAGAGAAATCTAGCAAAAAATACTCATCTGGATTTTTTAAACTCCCTATTGCACATTTAGTTCAGAGATCAATCTACAAAAATTAAACTTTTGGAAATATTGATGTAAACAGATTTTGGTACACTCAAATAAGAAGTAATTAAAGGTACAAGAGAATTAGAATATTTATTTTACTATATCATACACTTAACTCTATAAAAATAACTATTTTGTTCCAGCCCATTTTTTAAAAATGGATAACTCTGTACTTTTATATTCATAAATGTCTATAGTGGTATAAAAGCTGATAAAAATTGTACTTTTTTTCTAATACTAAAATATACAAATTTTAGTTAGCCAATTTGAATTAATCAAATTAGATTATTTCAAAGAAGATTTTTATTATGTACTCTAGGATCTGCCTGTTTAGTTATACATCTACATGCACAGGATTGCACTGATAATCAGAAATAGTTTTAAAATAATGTTATGAATTATGACAAAAAACATCTGTTATGTATGCAACGTAACATTTGCCAATTGTGCAGGGCACAGTTTAACAACATACATTTTCAATAAAGTCCTATATTTTCTTGTAAGATAGCATAGGAATCACAACATGGCATTGGTCATATCTGTAACTTTTCATACAATTGCTATAACATTTCTAAATATCATCACTGAAAATTATTTCAAACATTATTTTGAATCTGAAGTCTTGATCTATTTGTAGTTTTTACTTGTCCCACCTAATTTAAATTTGAACTGGAGGAAAGAAAGAAAGAAAGAAAGAAAGAAAGAAAGAAAGAAAGAAAGAAAGCAAGCAAGCAAGCAAGCAAGCCACATACCTGAGTATAGAGAGGCAGATCCTACACAAATTCTACAAATCTGAATACAAGCATGCTTCTGAGAACAAGTGAAACGGTAAGTGTGTAGGTCTGAGTGTTCATGTAGTGACAGTTTTCATGAGACAGCAATGAAACTCTGCTCACACATCTTCTGAAATTTGAAACGGAATAGCATTGCTACATAAAAGCTCTAAGTTAAAGGCTAGCTAATGCATGCAGAAAGTTTATTTGTGCAGCCAATCATGTAATGTAGCAGTATTATACTCTCCTACAGAAGACTAGCTAAAGAAGCAGATGTTTAAGCTGATAATGATTTTGAAGTTGGAATCAATGCTGTGGCAGAAGAGTTTATAGATTACCACAAATGTAATTTCATAATCTCTTAACCATTTAAAAAGACCTGCATGATGACTGGATTTTTTTTAAAATGCAGTTATATCAAGATATATGAGAAAAGATTCACTTTGAAGTCAAGAGTTTTGCTGAAATCGTCATTTTGTGCAGCACAGTTGAATGCAGTTGCTGAAATGAGTGATGAATTCCTACGTTTGAGTCAGTTGGGTTAATATAATTTATTTTCCCAAATCAAAAGATACTGATTTTAGAGTACATACCCAAATCAGGTCATCATCAGGAACCCTAATTATGAGGTGTCCCATGGTAGGGGCAGACCAGGGACCAGTTGATGCCCAGCATCGGGAATTCAGAAGTAGCAACTCCTAAGTGCAAGGAGCATCCATGAAAAGTTCATAAGCATCCTGTAAAACCAGGATGATAGAATTTCGCTGTGAACATTGTAATGAAGATTTTACTATCATGTACATATTTTGACCCCTGTATTATTTAATATTTACATGGTTTTGTTGTTTTTATTTTATTTTTGTGTTTGCCATCTTGTGATCCTTCCTGGATGGAATGTTTGGATATTAATGAGGAAGAGGAGAACAAGGAGGATGAATTGCTCTCTCCATAACTGACCAAGAGTATTTTTCAAGGAATGGAATGGGATGCCTGTCCACTACTGTGAAGATTTGGGAGCAACCCTTCTTTTTTGAGACAGTCACAGCTTGCTATCTTCCTTTTAGAACTGTTGTAGCAACAACAGGTTCTGCAGCTAGCAACAGCAAAGAGGGATCAAATATCAAATATTATTTTCAAATCAGTTCTGCCCCAAAATGTAGTGCTCTTACCAAAGCAAAATTAGCAGAAGGTGAACAATAATTCCCCTACTCCTCAGAAAATTGCGGGGGGGGGAGAGAGACCCAAAGCTTCCTCCTTTGTCATATTCCCTTAGCAACTTTACATAAATGACACTGATTATAACATGTTTGAGAAATCATCAAAATCACCATATTTACCAAAAGGAACAGGGGGAGTCACCATACATTCACTGAGAATGTGGGGAAAAAAGAAAGATGCTCTGAAAGCAAGGGAATGGGTAGGAAATGCAAAGACAAGCAAGTGCTGAAAGAGAAGAGGAGTGGGGGAGAAACTACTGCCTCTGCTTCAAGGAGCACCCTCCCTGTCTTTAGATCTGCCCTCTTGGTAGTGAGGATAAGGATCCCTCCCGTGGAGAGAATGAAAGCCTTCTCTGTCCATAGTATTGTCCATCCAAGTCAGGACTCAAGTAAATTCAGAACCTCAGTCACTGGAGTTTCCATGGACGGAGAGGCTGTTCACTGCAATTACTCAATCTCTATATATAGAGGGGGAAAACAAAAGAAAAGGACTAGTACATTGTTTAAACAGGTCCCAAAATCAAAAACTTAATTATGCAGGAGTAAGAGTCTCAGAACTCAATGGGACTTATGACAGAGAATGAAGGCATAGGTGTCCTTGTGTTTACAATCTCCTCTATGTGTGTATATGTGTGACAGAATAGTAGCTAGTGTGTGAAATAATGGTTTGTGCAGATAGGCATCCATTAATTTTACAATGAGGTCCCTTGATTCATTGGCACCTGGTTGTTATTATTTCAGTTAATATACATTGTAATTGTTTTTGGGGCTCCTGCCTTTTTTTGAGTTTGGTGCATATTTGAATGTGCATATTTGTAAACATACAAATATGTTACATACTTGTTTTGGGGGTTGCCAGGATTGATTGTGGTGGGAGTTGTCTACTGAGCTGATAAGGTAAGGGAGCTGGGTACAGACAGACCTCATTTACCGACCGCAACAGGGACCAGGAACTCTGCCACTAAGCAGTGCGGTCGTTAAGTCCGACATCATGTGACTATGCCAACTTACAATGTCAGTTCTGGCTGTGGCCATGAAGCGAATCACCCACAGTCGTAAAGTGCAACATCATGTGATCATGACTTGCAATCTTCCCTCCTGGCTTCCCCATTGCCTTTGCTTGTGGGAAACCAGCTTTGAAGGTCGCAAATGGCGATCACGTGACTGCAACTGTCGTAAATGTGCACCAGTTGCCAAGTGCCTGAATTATGAACACAACCACATGGATGCTGTGATGGCCGCAAATTCAAGGATCAGTCATGAGTCTTGTTTTTCAGCACCTTCATAACTTAGAACAGTCGCTGAACAAGTGGTCAGTAAGCAAGGACTACCTGTAGTTTATAGGATTTTTGAGTGGGTTTACAATCATTTTTCTCACTATCGTTCTTGGGGGGGCACCTTGAAATTCAGAATCATCTTCCTTTTGGTGGTGTGTTCTCTCCTGACAGAAATGGCAAGGCTTAACATCTGTCATTTGCTCAATGGCTGCTGAGCTATTTGCAAAATAATTTGTATGATCAGAACGGACTGTTTATTTCAAAAGTTAATGCTACCCACATTAAGACAAGCATTTACAAAACCAAGTAGTTTTAACCATGACGAGGGACTGTAGAACAAATCCATTGTTGGTTTAGGCTCAAAACTTGAAAATAAGTATTGCTGCATTTAATGAGACCTGGGAAGAAGACAAAACACATTGATAAAATAATGCAACTGCTCTCTAAAATGGGAAAAAATATCGCAGGAAATATTGCAGGAAAATAGCTGTAATGCGGGTGGGGAGTAGGTATCCCTTTAATATAATAGCACCCACAGGGTTCTGATTCATATTGGGAATATTGGGGGTAGGGAGAGAAAGGCTTCATCCTTTCCGTTCTAGGGATAAGTAGATTCTCAAGATTCTGCTTCATTCTACTTCTACTCTGGTAGGATGACTTTGTATCCACCTTTTCATTTTGGCCAAGATTCATCTCTTCCAAAGAAAACTTAGCCAGATTCTGACAGAGGTGGATAGAGATGGCACTTTAAATGAATGTGGTAACCAAGAGAGCACCAGGCAGGCAGGCAGGCAGGCCGACCGGCAGGCTAATATATTAATAACAGTGCTGGGTGCTTTATATTTAGCCTTTGTTCTTATCTGGCATTGCCTGGACTGACTACATAATCATGAAACATCATATGGCCTTTCCAGAAAGTTTCCAAGAAGAAACCTCTAGTTTGACTGGATTGTTGAGCTTTATTTATTGTTGTAAAGTGGCACTCTATATCCTCCATCGCCACTGAAGCTTCCAGCTCTGAAAAAGTCTCATGGGAGAAGGTTCCATGTTGCGTTTTCTCTTGGGTTTTAAATAAAACATAGAAATCAAGGAAGGCTGCAGATCTGTAAAGAGATGATGCCATAATGGAAGACAGGACATGCACAAACACACTTTTCAGCCAGCTCATAACTACTGGAAGAGCCTAAGCCCCACTCACTACTTAAGATAGAGAAAAATAACAAAAGCAATTTCTTTTCCATCAAATTCAAAGGGAAGAGTCAAAAATTCAGAAAGATATTTTCAGCCCAACACTTTTTTCATTTTTTATTATTCATATTTGTTTGTTGTTTGGTTGTGGTGTTTTACCAATGTATATGTACTGGGGAGACACAACAAACCTTAAAAAATTTTCAGCCCAACACTTTTTTCATTTTTTTTTATTCATATTTGTTTGTTGTTTGGTTGTGGTGTTTTACCAATGTATATGTACTGGGGAGACACAACAAACCTTAAAAAAATCTAAAAATAATAAAATGCTGTGGGATCAGCAGGTCTCAGTGTGAGAAGCCTCTGTGGGACCTATGAAGCCCCAGTAGAAGAGTCAAATGAATGACGGGCCCCACAGCACTCAGGGGGAGGAGCCCAACAATCTTTATTAGAGGATGCAAAAGTTGGCCTGGGTCTCCAAGTCTGAGTTTTCCCAGCCAGCATATCCTTAAGATACAGCAGTCTCAAGCACCCAGTTTTCAAATGTTAGACTAAGTTACGCTCTCAGAAGATGCTCTTTTTTGGTTTTGATACATCATAACATTTACAAATGAATTCAGAGTTGAAAGAGGAACATGTGCAAAACATCAACAAATAGAATATGGTATATTTAGGGCCATGATTTTTTAAACTGCCCGTGCATCAATTCAGATATCCACAGCAGGCATTTATGCTTAATGCCTACAAAATAGCGCAAAAACTAAACAAGAGCAAACTGCTGAATAATGATGTACATAACGGGGAATAATAACCCACAATGTAATTAATGTAAGGCAAATTAATGAGCTCTGTTCAAGTGTAAGTAGCTGCATTTTTTGCAACAAAGCAGAAAAACAAATCATTTATGACAGAAGATCAAAATGATCTAACTTTATACCTCTCTTGATACATGCAATAATACAGTGAGCCAAAGAGAGTTTCTGTATCCACTTATTCCTTTACTACCAATGGTGTATTTATTAATAGCATTTGAAATATGAAATATGAAGTGGTGGGACAGCTGAGAACAATAACCTGGTTGAGACAGAATAGCTGCCAAAAGGGTTTACTGAGCAACTTGTTCCTCTCCTTAGGTCTTTTCAAACATATACTTCCTTGTTAAGAATACGCTCTTTCCAAAAATATTCTCATGAGTCATATGGTTATGTTTTATGAGCTTCAGAAAATGGATTTGATTATGTTGCTTATATTTCCATGGTGGTTGTGACTAGAAGAGTATTCAGTCCTCAAGGGGTGTTTTTCAAAAGATTACCCACAGGAACCTCATGAAAAATGGAGATTTAAGAATCAGTCCACCAATGTGGGTTTTCAGCAGCTGATATGTTGCCCTACGCATCCTGGAAACAGT